TATAATAAAATAAAATTTTAATTTTAATATTTTTAACTACTTTTAATCTAAATTATTTGTTTATTTTCGTTAACTAAAATCGAAAAAAATAATATTTTAATCATTAAACTCAATATAGGTATACAGAAAATGTCTAAAATATTAATTTTCATTGAGTTTAATGACTAAAATACTTTTTTTCGGTTGATTTTACTTAATAGAAATAGACAAATAGTTAAATTGAAAATAAATCAAAAGTTCATAGTTTAAATTAACGAAAATAAAAATTTAGAATTTATTTTGTTAAAACGATAAAACTCTAGCTTTATTTCTTTATTTTATTTTCCTTTTATTTTTTTATAATTTTCCCTAAATGACATAAAGACAAAATTTTATAAAAAAAATTAATATTAAATGTTGTGTGAATGACAATTATAATTATGAATATAATATTAATAGGCATTTTGATTTCTAATAAGAAATATAAATGAAACATAGGAAGCTTCTATTTATAAACATGATTTTTTCTCCGTGCACACATATATTTTTGTTCAGAAATTAGTTTCTGAATAAAATTATTTGGTTCGAAAATTAACTTTCCAACAAAAATATTTAATTCAATTCGGCTATATCTTTGGTTTGAACCAATAAGTTTCATTCAAAAATCAACTTTTGAATTAAAATTTTGAAATTAAGCATGTGAACTATGATAATATGGTATGTGAGAATAGAACCACATCATTACTCTATTATGTATGAAATTTTAATATATAAATTTCGTTTGCATAATATTACTTTATGAATATTCATACGAGGAGTTATTTGATGGTTTTAAAACAATATTCTATAACATTCATGTTATAACAAGTGTGCAATTATTTTTTACAAACCAACATAAAAGTAATATCTCCCGTTATTTAAAGGGTTGGTATTCTTCGAACCCATGAGGCTCGTTAAGAGTTTTATTTCAATGATTTGAATTATTTATTTTGTAAGACTCTTTATGGATATCGTTCATTAAAAAAATTAGATCGATTCGATAATTGTAACTTCTTTATTTTATTGCATTTGTTTTCAAAAAAAAATAGACGTGCATTTTTTTGAAAATAGACCATTCATTTTTTTTAGACAGACGCAATGAAATGAAGAGTTTACGATTACTGAATCAATTTAATTCTTTTTTCATAAATAATATATATGAAGAGTCCTACAAAATAAACGATTTTAATCATCAAAATGAAATGGGATCCGTGGTAGGTCTCATAAGCCAGAACAATACCCTTCGATCTAAATGATCGACTAAAGACAAGTCCAACCCTATTATTTAAGGATAAAGTATAAATACACTTACTGATATTTACTTAAAATACGAATTTTTTCTTGTGATTCTGGAAATTACAAATATTCTCTTATTATAATTTTTTATTTAACGAAACTAAAAATTAAAAAAAAATAAAATAAAAAAGAAAAATACACCTCCAGAAATTCGCTTAAATTACAGTTGCCCTTTGTGGTTTGGAAAATTATAAATACCCCCTTATCAGAATTTTTTATTTAACGGAATTAACTAAAAAAATGAAATTCATAACTGTTCTCCTATACAATAATAAAATTACTTAAATTATTATTTGTTAATTGGCCTAATGATTTATTAATAAAATAGACGATTTGTTATGAAATTAGAAACATCAAGTGGTGGAATGTAATTTTCAAAATCAAAGGGGTGATTCGTATTTTAATCAAAATTCAGGGGGTGATAAATTACAAATACATCCCATGAGTTTTGATTAACAAGTTGTTGGTGTGTTGCGTTATTGTTGAGTTATTCTTTCTGTTTAATTTTCTCATTTTATCTCTATTTAATTAAACTCTAGTCTCCTCATTCTTGCTTAACTTATCTTTGTATTCCACTTTGTCAATAGCCACCCACCTTTCGTCCCAATCCAGTGTAAGTCCTTAGGTTTAGGCAGTCGAAGGATATAAGGGTTCCCAGAAAGCGTATGAGCGAACACACTGTACGTGAAAACATGATAAGTTACAAAATGAGTTTTAGAAAATTGGATTTAATTTTATAGAATTAAAATGAGTCGATTATTCAGAAATAACTCTTCAGTTAGCTCTAGATCTACAACTCTAACTCCTATCCCTAGTACGGATGTACTAATTAATGAAAAAGAACATGAATATTAAGATGTTAAAATTGATTCACGTTGAAATATTCCTAAAGTCAAAACTAAAGAAATTTACAAAACTAGTTTTTTACAATCCATCTTTAATGTTGATTTACAAGTCAAAACTGTTGAACAAGTTTATACTTTAACAAAAATTATGGAAACTTGTCAATTATTATCTAAAGAGTCAGTCATAAAACATCTCAAAGCTTGTCATAATTTTATCCATTTATGATTAATCCAAGTGAGAATCAACCCATTAACCCAAAAGGTACAAATACTTCTGTCTTTTATATTTACGTGATGCTCGTTTTATTGACTACCATGCTAGTGTTATGGAAATGATGGAATCTAGCCTGCATAAAGGTCTAGTACATTTTAATTGTTTTCCAGATTTTACTTTAAGTTTACGTGATCTCCATATATTAAAGGCTTTAACACTAAATATTCAATTATCTGGTGAATATACTAATATGTTAGAAAGTACTCATAGCATTGCTTTAATCTATCGAATTTATTACAAGTGTATTAAAACTAATTTAAACGTTCAAGTTTTAACTAAAAGCCCCAAAGATACTTACGAATTACTTCTAATACCCTAATACTGATTAATTAACTACGTAATTGTAAAATGATCACTCAAAACCCCAGATTTCCTATCATGACCCGAACCCCCCCTATGGGTTAAGGACATAACCGGCCAGTAATCAAGGGATTACCTACAGCCTAAAACCATTCCAGACATAACTCATCAGAGTAAAGGGGCCAAACGGTAGCAATTTCAAACTTTTGTCCATAGAGTTGTGCTTATATGGCACGTCATAACAATCCATACAAATACATGTTAATAACTCACAACAGAAAATACAGTAACATAAGGTTCTATACAGACAGGATCATTCAAGTCTAGGTCAGCCAATCAAAACTATATACAATCCTAATTCAAAGTCCTCGCCAACAAGACAAAATGATAAAATAGCAAAAGAGCGAAGACGAGTCTCATGCGTGAGACGCATGGGCTGACTCTTCAAAACCTTGGTTGTTCCACACAAACTTCACTGAGGCTGGGTTTGGACCTCTCTTGGCTCACCTACAAACACATGAATGAGCGTAAGCAAAAGCCCAGTGAATAATATCAATTACAAAAAATACACGAACAGTATTTAGAACAATATACACCAAACGGCCTTGGGCCCAATTCATATTTCTATCAGGCATATATATAAATATGTATAGGTCAAGTGACTACGATTCCAAACACATCAAACAGCCTTGGTCCCAATTCGTTCTTGTCCGACGGCCTTTGGCCCAATCATTTGTGTCATACGGCCTCTGGCCCATTCATTCATGTCATTCGGCCTCTGGCCCATTAATTCATGTCAAACTGGCCTTTGGCCCATTCGTTCATGTCATACTGGCCTTTGACCCATTCATTCTTTCATTCATGTCAAACTAGCCTTTGGCCCAACCATCCTTTTATTCATGTCAAACTGGCCTTTGGCTCATTCATTCTTTCATTCATGTCAAACTGGCCTTTGGCCCATTCGTTCATGTCATATTGGCCTTTGGCTCATTCATTCATTCATTCATGTCAAACCGGCCTTTGGCCCAACCATCCTTTCATTCATGTCAAACTGGCCTTTGACCCATTCATTCTTTCATTCATGTCAAACTGGCCTTTGGCCCAACCATCCTTTCTTTTTTGGGTAAGTAAGAAATAAATAAAACAAGAAAATTTACACGATTACAAGGGGCATACCCCAGGCCCTACCCCAAAATACAACGACAACGCCCAAACAAAAAGAAAAGGAAAACTGGCACCAAAAAGGCAAGCCAACCACAAAAGACTAAGGACTCATCCAGCCAGAACAACTAATAAGTACATAATACTTGTTCAAGAACCATGTCCCACAACAGATAGGGATCTTGCACAAGATCTACACCATCCCAAAGAAGCACCGAACTGGAGTAATACAAAGTTCACCGTGAATACCAAAAAAAACACCCTAATCTTAGCCTCAAACACGTCCAGATCTAATAAACAAAGTACCCAAAAAAAAGGGGACAGCGTTACAATATACAATAATTACAGTCCCACCATACAGGTATATATACAACCAGAATTGAAAACAGCTTATGAACCCACTGAAATGCCTAGGCAAGGCGCACCTTGCTGCCATTACCGAAAAGCATCTCCACACAGCATATAGCTTCACCGAGGGGCACTGGTTGCAGCCACCTCCACACCACCAATCAACACTAAACTCGTTACCAGACACAGATTGTTGCCATCGCCCAAGAGCCTTCCCCAACAGCATGCAACTTGCAGCCGTAGTCCAATAACAGTCCCAATAACAGTACAAAGGAGATTGCCAGTAACAAACCCACCATACAGGTTTCTGCTTAACCTGCCCAAAGAGAATTAGATAGTAAGTGCCAATATTACATGAGACATCATAGAGAAGGAGGAAAATAATTCTTAGAATATGAGACCTCCCATCACTCGGCCCACAACAACACTCCACACAGTATATGTCCTCTCTTCACTAGGCCCACATCTCTCCAACTCACTCATGATCTCAACTGTTTTGCTGTATAAGGGAACTTCCTTAACCTGTACATAAAAGTTAAAATATATAATAACAGTTAGAAATATAATTGTGAGCAGCCTCACATCTCTCAACCCACAAGATAGTATTAAATTATTTTGGCTCACTTCACTCGGCCCACATATGACATTAGCCGAACATGCTAGAGAGTAGGAAGACATCATCAAGTTAGAACAAGCATCCATGATATAAATCTGCAAAAGAGTAGCCAATTAGAAAACCCCACAATATTTGCTCACCCTCACTCAACCCTCAATATAGGTAAACTGTCCCCACTCAATATGCTCCCAGCATTGTTGTCCTGGGGCTGCTTCATAATTGTTGTAGGTAAATTCCATTGTGACAGATACCAAGCATCACCTGCAGAGTTAGCCAAATTATACATAGAAAGCATCCTACCTCTAACCATCTGGACAATAAGATTAGTCACAATTTTCTCAGATTTAAACTCCTTGCTAAAAATCCTCCTATTCCTTTCAATCCAGATCTGATAGACAGTGCACAGAAAGGAGAGTTTTGTAAGAGAAGACTTCAAAGCTTTGCCTCTGGTGGACTTAGTAGCATAGACCACATACTCCAGCCAGGATAACTGGGGCCAGCTAATGTTACACTTAACCTGAATGGCACCCCAGATCCTAGATGAATACACACACCTGAAAAACAAATGAGAGTGATTCTCCTCAAGACCATGACAAAGGGGGCAAGTAGGCTTAGGAACAAGGCCAAATAGATGCAGCCTATCCCCTGTGTTTAATCTCTCGTGAATAGCCATCCAGACCACAAAGCTGACCCTAGGAATGGACGGATGCCCCCAAACAAGATTAGCCCAGGGCACTTTAGTACCCTTATCCCTCCAACAATTCCACGCAGATTGTATGGTAAAATTCCTATCCACAGTCAAGTTCCAGACAGGACAATCCTGGATATCCCTACTAGGTTTAAGCTCAAGAGGAGTAGAAGAAATCCACTCCTTGATCTCCCAAGAGTTGTCAATAGGCCACTTCCAATCATTATTAGATATGACAGCACTAACTTTGGAATTGAAAGGAAGACCCGTGTCATACATAATCCTATGCCCAAATCTGTCCCATAAAGAGCCCAAAGGATGCCAATTATCAAACCACAGAAACACCTTCTCCCCATTACCAATCTTAAACTTGATAAGAGGGAAGATATTTTTCCTAAGAGACAGAATTTTCCTCCAGACCCATGAGGGGTCACTAGGCATCTTAATATGCCAAAAGCTCTTACCCTTAAGTAAGTAAGACTTAACCCACTGGCACCACATAGATCCTTCCCCTCCGGAGAACAAGAACCAAACATGCTTGGTGATAGCCGCCCTATTCCAAACCCCCATCTCCTTAAACCCTAAGCCCCCTTCACCTTTAGGCTTACAGACATTATTCCAAGCGATTTTAGCACTATGCATCTTCAAATCAACACCCGACCAAAGAAAAGATCTCAAAATGCTATCAATCTCTCTAATCACCTTTTTTGGGAGGATAAAAAGTGAGGACCAATAGACTTGCATAGAAAAAAGGATAGTCTGGATAAGTTGAGCTTTACCCGCATAAGAAAGAAGCCTATTGGTCCAGCTCTTAATCCTCTTGGTGATCCTCTCAACCAGAATCTTACAATCAGTAGCCTTAAGCTTCGTAGTGATCAAGGGCACACCCAAGTATTTCACCGGAAGAGTGCCCTCAGTAAACTTGGAAATACGAAGAATGTCATTTTTGAGCTCCCTATTACACCCCGAGAAGAATATATTACTCTTACTAGGACTAGGAGTGAGACCGGACAACTGCCTAAACTCCTCTAGGCCTTGCATGATAAGGTTGACAGTGGCAGTATCACCTTTACTGAAAATCATAAGATCATCAGCAAAGCAAAGGTTGACGATCTTGGTTTTATCACACCTCCAATGAAACTTGAATAGGGGATCACAAGCTTTTTCAGCCAAAATTCTAGCTAAGATTTCCATAGCCAAAACAAACAAGTAAGGGGACATTGGATCCCCTTGTCTAAGCCCTCTAGCCCCTTTGAAATACCCATGGAGACTACCATTAATGCAGATCGAGAAAGAAGGACTCGTCATACAAGCCTTGATCCACATAATCATACAAGGGGGAAAGTTCATAGCTGACAAGATGTCAAGAATAAACTCCCACCTAACATTATCATAGGCTTTCATAATGTCCACTTTCATAGCACACTTGGGAATTTTAGAATTTCTATGATAACCCCTCATTATCTCCTAAGACAAAAAGATGTTATCCGAGATCCGTCTACCCTGGACAAAAGCTGATTGCACAGGATCTACAAGATCCGGAAGAACAATCTTAACTCTATTGGCAATGATCTTGGCAATGCATTTATAGATCGTGTTACAACAGGAGATAGGCCTATAGTCCCCAACCTTCGTGGGGTTAGGGATTTTAGGAATGAGAGCTATAATCGTACTGTTAACCTCCGAGAGAAGTTTACCAGTTTCAAAAAGGGATCTTATAGCAAGGGTGACCTCCTTGCCCACTATATCCCAAGAGCTCTTGAAAAAACCCGCCGAATAACCATCAGGTCCCGGGGCCTTGTTAGGCTTGAGGGACCAAAAGACATCCTTAATCTCAGCATCCGAGATAGGCATAGCAAGCATAGCATACTGAGACACAGAAACTTTAGTTTTCACCAAAGAATTGATCCTATCAAAGCCATTATACTGGTCCGCAAAGGGAGAGCCAAAGAGGTTGGTATAAAACTGAACGAAAGCAGTGTGAATGTCACTGATCTCCGTAATTCTATCACTATCCCCCAACTCAACACTCAAGATTTTACCTCTATTAGTATTACTTCTCACCGACCTAAAGAAGAAGCTGCTATTCCTGTCCCCCAAATTTAGCCATTGAATCCTAGATTTTTGAAGAGCAAGACTCTCCTCCACCTTGCTAAGGTCCAGGTACTTCTTATATTCCTCCCTCTCCTGAACCTGAAGGCCACAATTCAGAGGATCTTTATCAAGCTTGATCTGGATTGATTCCAGAATAGCTTTCGAAACTTGAACTCTAACAGAAATGTCACTGTAATCTTTTTTATTCAACAGCTTGAGGGTTGTTTTGAGCTGTTTCAGCTTTTGACAAACCCTAAACATCGGAACACCTCTAATAAATTGATCCCAGGTAGCAGACACACAATTCAGAAAATCAGGATGCTTAGACCAAAAATCAAAAAATTTGAAAGGTTTTTTAAAAGATGTTTTGGTCTCACTTATATTAACAACAGCAGGTGAGTGGTCAGAAATACCAGATGGTAGAAAAGAAGCACTAGATTCAGGGTATTTGACCAGCCAGTCCTCATTAACTAACACCCTATCAATTTTAGTAGCAATATAGTCACCATCAGCTCTTTTATTAGCCCACGTAAATTGACAACCACCATACGAGAGGTCCGTCAAATCAGATGAGTTAATACATGTGTTAAATTCTTCATTGTCATTAGACCAAACCGAAGAGCCCCCTATTTTTTCCTGACGATATCTTATGGCATTGAAATCACCCAGGAAAATACAGGGGGAATTGGACTTAACATGGGAGATGTGAACCATTTTTTCAAAAAATGTTTTCCTCACAGTATGTTTATTATCAGCATAAACAAATGTTGCAAAAATACTGGCTTTAGTGGCACGAAACAAGATTTCACAAAAGATGTGTTGGTTAGACATCGAGCACAGTTTGACATCACAAATTTCACTGTTCCAACACACCCACACCCTACCAGATTCAGTTGGTTGGGAGTTAGACAAAAAAGACCAATTTTCAAAACAATTATTAAAAATTTTATTTTCATTACTTTGGCTAATTTTGGTCTCCAAAACACCAATGACATGGATATCTTCATTAAGCACAAGTTTTTTAAGATCTTTATGTTTAGAGGGATCATTCAACCCTCTAACATTCCAAGAAGCAATTTTAAAAGTCATTGGAAACAAAAACAAAAAGAACATCCCACAACCAACTGAAACAGCAGTTACTTCTTCTTTTTCCTCTGACTGCTATTACCATTGCCAGAGGATTTGCTACCTTGAACATGCTGAGCCTTTAGGACTTGAGCAGCCCCTGATGAACGCACCGTAGCTGGCATGGTATCAGCAATCACTGCCTCCAAGAGATCTGTAGCCTGCGGGAGCACCACTTTAGTCAGTTCCATAACACTATTATGAAACATTGTAGCTTCCTTCACTGGTGTCTCTAACTCCTCCTCTGATGAACTCACTGCCACAGCTGGGATAGGACTTTCCACTACGGGAATGGTTGTTGTTGGAGCATCAGGCACCGGAATGGGAACATCCACATTTTCAGATAGTTCGGATCCCCCACTTTCCTCTTCCCTTTGGCTTGGACACTAGTCCATTCCTCTTCCGGCACCTCAACAGCTTCCTCAGAGTTCTTTTGGAGAGCAATTAGGTGCGCCACCTGTTTAGATACACACTTCTGAGTTTCGTGACCAAAAATTTGGCAGTGTTGGCAGATGGAAGGCAAGCCTTGGTATTCAACACGGATCAGAACTGCTTCATCATCACAGCGAATCTGGAAATAGGTAGGTAGTTTGGCGGTAGCCTCTATCTCAATGCAAACCCTTGCAAAAGCCACCCTGGACCCTCTAGCTGTGAGTTGATCCATACAAAGAGGACTACCAATAGCACTAGCAATCCTACTAAGCCCATCCGGATCCCAGTGCTTCAATGGAATGTTAAAAAACTTAACCCAAATCGGAATCTTGGTGGATTTTTCCTTGGCTAGCTTCATTATCCTTTTCCATTGTTTTAGGATGAGTAAATAACCACCAATATACCACGGCCCCTCTTCAAGCACCTCCCTGCAGCAGTCCGGGGAATCAAAAATAAAGAACATAAAACCATCCCCGTTGGTTAATACTTCCTTGAGGCCTTTGTTTTTCCACAACCCAAAGGCACTATTACGAAGGTAATTGTAACCTACACCTTTATCTATGAAATAGCCTACCAAACATGAGTCCCATTTCTCCAGAGGGTCAGATCTCCGAGGCATATTAACCACAACAGCATCATCAATTTGAGTAGGGGGATATACCTTAGTTTGATGTTAGATCGAGTTGGTGCCGCAGCCACGTTGGCCCACGATCTCTGCTGAGGCTGATTAAGCCCCACATCAGAGGAGCTCCTACCTCCATTACCCCCTCGACCCCCTCTCGCCCCTCGGTAACTTCCTCCGTCCCTTCCTCGACCACCAGACTGGTTAGGAATATTCACATCAAGACCCAACCATCCTTTCATTCATGTCAAACTGGTCTTTGGCCCATTCATTTTGGCATAGCAAACATTTGTCCACCATTCAAATTAATGAACTTATAAGACTTACGTAGAAGTAAGCAATTGGACAAACAACACACTTCAGATATCTTTATTAAGATATTACTCACAGTGATCGGCTGAATGATTTGCCCTGGAGCTCGACCCTACACATTCCATGAACACAATGGGTCACAAATAATCCAATTCGTTCTTAATTCACATATTCCTCTTTAGGCTCCTTTCTTATTCTTTTAATTCATTCATAATGCTCAATGCATGCCTAAGAGTACTTAGAAGTGACAGGGAACGAAAAACGAAACATAGAACGCATTTACAAAATTTCAAAAACAGGGGTCCCCGCTCGAGCGTGGACTTCCCCGCTCGAGCGAACCCATTAGGTCTGCAAAAGTTTTGGTTACCTCGTTTTTACGCTCAAGCGTAAATTCGGACGCTCGATCGAAAAGTATCACTACATGGCGCCCCGCTCAAGCGTGAACTTCCTCGCTCGAGCGAACATCATGTCTGCAAAATATTCTGGGAGCTCGTATTTTACGCTCGAGCGGTGGTTCCCCCGCTCGAGCGGACGTCAAGAATTCTGGGTTTTCCAGAACTTTTCTTCAAGTTCAAATTCGGCCTCCAAAGGCTTTAAAGCTCAAATTAAGGCACCAAAAACATGCAAATACATCATATAGCATATGGATGTAAACGACATGAGGCCAATTATTCAAAATCATGGTCCAATCTTCAAAATTAATCAATATTTCTTTGTATAACCACGGCTCATGCATTCAAACTTCATGTAATCTTCATATCTTCAATATCCAAACATGCATGCCAATTTTTGGCTTCAATTCCATTTCAAATAATGCAAATGGTGTCCATTCTCATGAAACTCAACAAAACCATGCTTGTATGTATGCTTTAATACTCATATTCCCATATTTAACTTCATACATACTTGATTATGCAAAATCATGGTGATCCTACATATGCATGTGCATATTAGCTTCAAATTCACAAATTATAACACAATTCTTGTTCTTGATCATCTTTCAACTTTGAATTCACAAAGTTACAAACTAAAATCCATGAGTCAAGGGTTGATTACTCACCTAGGAGCCTTAATTCTCACAATTGTGGTCAAATCTTGCACCTAGCCTTCCCAATTCACAAATCTTGAGCCAAAATGCACAAGGATGCCTCCTCTCTCTCTCTCAAAGTCGGTTCTCTCTTTTCTAGAGAGCCAAAATCAGCCAAAAATGAAATAAAAGAGAGGAATTGAGTGTATAAAGGCCCTTTTTATAGTCCCACTAGATTAAATTTGATTATAGCTAATTAATGGCACTTAATTAATCGTTCTGAATCCAATTATTTTGATCCGAATCAATTTTCAATTAAATTTCACCGCAGGCTCTAAAAATTACGCTAATCACAATGGCGCAGTCAGTTTCAGTTTCTGTGGCCGATAGGGCCTTCAATTTAAATCCCAAAGCAGATAATCAAATAGATATTCATACGGTGAACAGATAGAAATTCAAAACCACATATTTTCACATAATGGCACACAAAATCATATCAAACACATAATCACATTCATAATAAGGACCAATTAGCATAATAAAGAACATGGTTGTCACAGTCTTCCCCCCTTTAGGAAGTTTGGTCCTCCAAACTTATTTTACCTTCGTCGGGAAACAAGTGTGGATAGCGTAGGCACATTTCATCCTCTTTTTCCCACGTGGCTTCCATCCCATAGTGTTCTTTCCATTCCATTTTCACCATTGGGATGGACTTGCTTCTTAATTGTTTCACTTGCCGGTCAACGATTCGTTCCGGCCACTCGGTGTACTCCATATTTTCATCAAGAGCTACCTGGTGATAATCAATCACAGGAAACGAGTCTCGAAGATAACCCCTAAACATCGACA